GTAGAGGTAGTAGCAGCAGTAGTAGTAGTAGTAGTAGCAGCAGAGGTAGCAGTAGTAGTAGTAGTAGCAGCAGAGTAGTAGTAGTAGTAGTAGCAGCAGAGTAGTAGTAGTAGTAGTAGTAGCAGCAGAGGTAGTAGTAGTAGTAGTAGTAGCAGCAGAGGTAGTAGTAGTAGTAGTAGTAGTAGCAGCAGAGGTAGTAGTAGTAGTAGTAGTAGTAGCAGCAGCAGAGGTAGTCGTAGTAGTCGTAGTAGTAGCAGCAGCAGAGGTAGTCGTAGTAGTAGTTGCAGAAGTAGTAACAGTGATAATAGTAGTAGTAGCAGTAGCAGCAGTAGTAGTTGTAAAAGTCATAGTAGCAGCAGTACTAGTACATTACAGTTGCAGTGATGTTACATTACAGTAATTACAGTAGTACTTGATCAGAAGTACAGCACATACAGTGTAACTGTGCTACAGGAAGAGAATCTGTTTTAAAATGTTTCCAGTCACTGTGCGTTTGTCTTGAAAGTGAAAAGCCAGAATGATCATGTCTCTGCTGACCCTCGTCGGACTCTGACCTGATTGTGTTGCATTGTGGGACATGTAGTTGTGTGGATGTTGACAGCAGACAGTGGCCAGGGCAGGACACGTACAGATAAGAGACTATAGAGTTTCACATGGGAACAGAGAACTAAAGAACAGAGGGAGGAGGAGAGACCGCAGAGATCAGACCGGATTCTAGAGGCGCGAACACAAGCAGAGGAGCTGATAACGACGAGATATGAGCGGGACAAGGGACAGATGAAGAGGACACACACAGGGACTGGTCTAAACACTGCTCTGACTTTGAATGGGTCCACGTCACCTCGCAACGAATATCGAGTTAGACTTTAATCTGAGCTTTGTTTTAACACAATCTGACCAGAAAGAAGTGATTTGGCTGAGCTGTTAAAAAAAAAAAAACTCTTTTACCAGGCCCGTCAACAGAAATTTGAGGGCCCGGGGCAAAAAGCGTCACGTGGGACCCCCTCTAATATTATTTAATAGGCAGAGGTTCAAGTTCTGGGCCCCTAAGACCCTGAAATCTTAGAAAACAGACCCGTTTAAAGTGAGCACAGGCTCCTGAAAATGAGCCGTTTCAATCCGTTTTGTGTTTTTTCACAATAGCAGAGTTTGCTATTGTGTGGATTGGGTCACCGTGGTAACTGTTCCGCCATAGACATACACGTAGGACCCACCCAGCGTGATGTCACTGCAAAGTATCTAACAATTTAACCAGAGCTGAGACACAAACTTAGAATCCTCAGGTGGAGTTTGCTGTAACTGTCAGATGCAGATTTGTTGATCTGGTTTATGGTTCATGTCTCTGTCATTACTGGGCCTATCCACGCGAAACCGAAACTGGAACAAAGTTAAACCTCGTATCGTCAGGAGAAATAAACAAAAATTGTATTCTTTTTTTCTTTGTCGCTTCAGAAAGTGGTTCCATTTTTCAACTCCAAAGACGTGAGTGTTGTCAGCTGAAAGGACTTTAAGACAGAAGATTAATATGACAAGTTTGTGGAGCCGATCCCAAACAAATAATGACAAGGTTCAACATAAGTTTGGATATTGTATACAAGTAATAAAATAAAAGTGTGATGCTAACTGTAGGCATGCTCTGTCTGAAGCTCTGTTAGATTTTTATTTGAGCTTTGTTTTAACACAATCTTACCAGAAAGGACTGAACCAGTGAGCAAACTTTTACTGTTAAAAAAGTCCTTTCTAAATAAAATTACCGTATTTTTCGGACTACAAGGCGCATTATATGAATGGACATATATTCTCTGTAACATTTCACTCATGTCACAAATGCAACACAATATAGTCTTTCAAATAAATGATATGCAGTGTTCTCTTCATTTTAGAGTCAAAGAGTTTTGTGGATCCAGGTGTTTTCTTTTCTGTGGGAGATGCTCCAACTGGCTCTTTGAGTATTTAAGGTTGCCGACCCCTCGTACAAACGAATGCCAGGTTTAAAGGTGAATTACTTCGCAGTGCATAGACATCAACACTAACTATAAATTAACTAAGCGGCGAAAACATAGCGGAACATTCACTTACAGTTTTTGAGCGCCGTAAATCAGAGTTCTTTGTCAGTGCACTCACTTTGTTCAACAAATCCATCACTGTGTCAGTTTTTTCAGTTCATGATCCGATTCAATTTATGTTCAGTGAGTCTGGACTTCGTGATTTGACTGAGCGATCAAAGCCTCCTACTGAATGTCTCCACGAAGCTCCTGACTACGTAGCGTAATGCTCTGACAATCCATCAAGCAGTCAGCCAAAGTACTAAAATAGGCAACACTCTAAGCACATGGTGGAGACGCACTGTCAGTTTTTCACTGTGAAAAAAGTTACGTAGTGTACTGTACGTGATTATACAAACCAAATACGTGTGTTGTGAAGTAACTTAAGTCTTGTTATTTGAACTTTGGACCAGCCTGTACCAACCTGCTCCGTACCGCTCCCATTAACACGCCTCTATCCACGCTCTGCATTCACTATTGTTGAATTTAAGGAATTTTCTAACTACTCTCTTATTTCTTTTATGACGTTTTACGGCAACAAGATATGTGCCACTCTACACCATAAAACCCTGCCCTCAGGAGACTTCTATAATTATTATCTACGAGTTTTCTTCTGTGTTTTGTCTCGGGGTTTGACTAGTGTTGCAAAAAGTGTTGAAAATCAAATGCAAAATGGTTCTAAAACTAGTATCGAAACTAGATATGTATTTGAGCAGGTGTCGATACTAAAAAAGTCCCATTCACCTTTTCTGAATAACTTTAAAATGATGTTGACATGGGAATAGAAAAGAAAGTACAATGATTTAATCTTGAAAATCACATTCTATTGTTTAAAGAAGGAGTGTTTTTTATTATCATCGCGTTATCAGAATCTGTGTTAAATCGAAATCGAGTTTGTAAGTATTTCCTTGTGTTGTCCACAGATTAGCTTCACGCTCACTTAGCTCCTTCCTGGTTCAAATAGAGGAAACATATTGGTGCGTTTAAAGGTGATTAGTGCAAAGTAGTGCCTTTAATGACTTGGAGAGTTTCCTCTGGGGTAAGTGGAGGGTCCGGCCCGGCTCAGCCCTCACTGGCCTGTGGGAGACTACCGGAGCTCTGGGAACGTTTTGGAACATTTCGGATCACTGGGAAGGACAGTTACACTGGGAACACAGTTACATTATTGCACAAGAGATCCAACTGTTTTATGCAGCTTTTGTTTATCCTTCAAATAACCACAAAACAACTTCATGTGAATAGAAGTTCAAACATTATGAGACATTTTTGTCCAAACATAGTAAATAGTCTCATTACGTCCAATAAAGACTTAACAAGGATATCGGCTGAACTGATATCATGGGACCGATGCTCGAACCAAACTCATTTTTCAGTAACAGTGTTGATATTTGATACCAGTATTGGTATCGGTACATACTTATAAATGTATAATATAGTATTAAAATAATTGAATGGCTTTCTTTGTCTGATGATCAGCTTTTTCACTGTGTCTGATTTAGCAGGAGAACATTTTTGAATAATACTTTTTCTGTGTGTAAAATCCCTCAGTTATCCAGGTAGAGTTTATTTATTTGGTCGAAAACCTTTCGCAGCTCATCCAAGCTTCTTCAATTCTTGTCTCCACCAGCATTTTGACCATAACTGAAGAAGCAGCTTGGATGAGCTGCGAAACATATTTGACCAAATAAACTTTTGTCCAGTTGACAAATTAAAGTTCTCCTTTTGCCAGTATTATTACTCTCTTGTTCTATGACGTCACTAGTATTGATGAACTATAGACAACAAGCTGCTTGTGTAGGAGAGGAGCACTACTGCACATGCTCAGTGGCCAGGAGAGACACAGGACATAGTTTAGCCACTAAAAGCTGATCTAGAGACATGCACCACTGAGCTCAGCCCGTCCACGTGAACAGGCGTCCATGTTTAGGGCTTGGTGTCTCCTCACAGATGTTTCATATTACAGTAAACATGTGACATATTTGTTTTATGGACTTAATATCTCATCTAACACTTCCACAGAAATAACCTCTCCCCTAAAAATGCCTGTTTATGATTACTGTGTATTTTATCTCTGTACCAATAAAAACATCACATATTTCCAGCTAAAAGGGCTGGGAATCCCATTTTAAACTTTAAACTTTTATTTGTTTCATTTCACACATTTTGTTAATTTGTCAATATCTTACCAATGCAGTTGTAGCGATATAAGTGTGTGTTCTTTTCAATTATCACAACATATTGTTAATTTAAATATACTTTATTTATTAATTCATTTCTGTTACATCCATATTCACTACAATATTTTTATAGCCTCTGTGAGGAGGAGAGACGTCTGTACAGTTGGGTGTACGGTGTTGTTGCTTTGGATTGAATTTTTAAGTAAATAATTTCCTGTTTGTTTGAACAGTTTATTTGTAATTAATTTACTTTAAGTTACACTGGAAGTCTACTTTAATACATTTTCTGGTCAGAGAGACTTTTTTGGTTTTAGTTTGTCTACTTTGACCATGACGGGCCAGTTTCCCACAGTGATACATGTGATAATGATGATACTGATATAGGCCACTGCAGTTTTTTAAGAACAGAATACATTTTAGCAACAATATTTCTTTGTGAAACCACTTCTTGTGCAAAGTTAATATGACATGCATTTATTTTAATCATCAAAACACTGAATATGCCATGTGTATTCCATAAATTGCAAGTTTCCTTCCACTAAATAAGGAACCAAATTATTCAGTAGTGCAGAATATGCTTGGTGATGAAATTTTGTATAATGGTATATCGATATATTTTTGCAGACCCCTACTAGTTTATCTGCAGATGTTGTGCTGTGGTTGGATAAATACATGATCAGGGAAAACATTTGTGGATTCTTGGAGATTTGGGTTCTTGTAGAGTTATTTTATATTAATCCGTGGTTTATCTCACCATGTTTTTGTTATGTCTTTGCAGAACTTGATGGCGAAGGCGCTGTACGACAACGTGCCCGAATCGCCGGAAGAGCTGGCGTTCCGGAAGGGTGACATCCTCACGGTTATTGAGCAAAACACTGGAGGGCTGGAGGGCTGGTGGCTCTGCTCTCTGCACGGGCGCCAGGGAATCGCGCCAGGGAACAGGCTGAAGCTGCTGATCGGGCCCATGTTCGAGGCCCCGTCCCTCCTGCAGTCGTCTCCGCAGCCCCCCCTGCTCCAGAGCTCCACGGGGGGGCCCTCTCCGCTCGCTCACGCCCAGGCTCAGGTGCAGGGGAGCGGTGCTGCGGCGCTGTACCAGGCCCCCCAGCAGAGCGTGTACCAGGTGCCCCCCCGCAGTGCACTGTCTGCGGAGAACACCCCCAGCAAGGTAAGAAGCTGAAGAAAACACAGAGCAGTGGAAACTTATCCTGCATTTTAAGGATGGGCTGATATGGGTTTCTTAAGCTGATACGATATCTGGTATTTGCCCTGCTGCTCTTGCCGATTACCAATATTTACTGATACCAATTCTTCAATTCTTAAAGGAGCATTGTGTAACTTTTCTGGTCCGTCAAATGCATTTCTCCATGAAAATGTTAGTGCTTTGTTTGTAATGTTCCACATTATGACAGTAAACAGCTCTACCTTACATTTATTCAATTATTGATAGGTTTTATTATTCAAAAATACAGAAAAACATTGTGATTCTGCGTGGGGTCGCCTCTCCACAGATCTGATCTGTAACTCTGTTTGGTTTCGTCTTCGTGAAGATAGAAAGGTTTAATGTCATTCTGTGAAACATTTCAGACAAAGCAATAACATCTCCATGGAGAAAAGCATTTGAAGACCCTCCACCAGAAATGTTACACAATACACCTTTAAGTTCAAGCAATTATTGCAAATTAACTTTTAATTTTTGTAAAAATAACAAAAAGTCTTTTACTGGGATATAAAATGATTTGTTACATGATTGTGTAACATACAGCCACATAGCACTCTTCTATTTCCATTTTTACTCATTGGCCTGTTCAAATATCAAATGTGTCACATAAAATGAGTTTCCTTCCTTTAAACAAACAACAAAACTGTAGTGCTGTAAAAGAAAATATAATAATAATATTTAGTAAAATATACCAAAAAATACTCTTGGCAAAATATCAATACAGCAGTCCACGATACCGATACTCTGATCCCGATCTCCTGATCTTCACATTAAACGATCATCACATTAAACGATACCATATATTGATGTTTTGATATTTTTGCACGCCCATAATATTCAATATCAGTATTAGTGTTCCTAAGGGATCCAATTCGATACTTGGCCTTAGTGTACTCGCCGTTACCGATACCAGTACGATATCACATTGTGTGAAGAAGTAGATTAATTCTACTCAGTTTTGCTTCAGTACAAGAGCACTAAATAAATCTATGAAAAGGCATTTCTAATGAAAATCTATAGAATACATTTACATACACAAGTGTCAAGAGTCAAATATATAATGATTTTGACCATTAAGTAGTGCTGATTTAAGTACGATCAGATCAGTGATTTGATCTGAATACTCACCGATACTGACACCTGAAAAATGTGCTGTATCGGAGCTTTTCTTTTTAAGCAATATTTGTACTATTCTGTTCTGTATTCATTATTCTACCAAAAGACTGCAACTTATATGAGTATTTGTATAAAAAAATTGTATAAAAATAATAACAATTTTAGATAAATATGGCAGTAGTACACTTAATTGAGTACATTTTCACATTTTCCGTGAGTATATTCCATGTTGAGTATAGGTTCAAATATCAGTGTAAGTGACAAAGAGATGGAGCTCACACAAAGGAGCACAGCTTTGCCAGAATCTGCAGATGATCCTGATCTGGTCCCGGTTTAGTCCTGGTGTAGTCCTGGTTTTGGTCTGTCCTCGTATAGTGGCTCTGTCTGTGTGTGTAATCCGTCAGACAGTTCCGCTGCCAAAGACGACATCTGTATTTGCTCTCCTCTCGTCGCTCGCCTCGCTTTTGTTCAGGTTTTTTTTTTTTTTTTTTTGGCTCTTTGGTAAACCGTGGCAGGGTGTGGGGACTTTTAATTTAGCACACATCATTGGGTTAGTCCTGGTTTAGTCCTGGTTTAGTCCTGGTTTGGTTTCAGTCTGGTCCAGGTTTAGTCCCGGTCTGGTCCTGGTTTAGTCCCGGTCTGGTCCTGGTTTTAATCCCGGTCTGGTCCTGGTTTAGTCCCGGTCTGGTCCTGGTTTAGTCTCGGTCTGTTCCTGCAGTCTGGAGAGGCAGACGTGAGCGGAGTGAAAGTCCAGCTGTATAAATCTTATTTTAGACTCATTTAAAAGGAGGTTTAATGTTTCATAGGTCTGATAGGTACACCAGGTCTTAGAACTAAACCAGGACCTAAACCAAGACTAAGGTCTAAAACAGGACTAAATCAGGTCTAAATCTGGACTAACTCAGGTCTGAACTAGGACTAAATCATGTTTGAACCAGGACTAAAACTGGAGCAACTCTTGACTTGAACCAGGACTAAACCAGGACTAAATCTGGACTAACTCAAGAGTCGAACCAGGACTGAAATAGGACTAAACCAGGTCTGATATAGCACTAGATCATATTGGAACAAAGACCAAAGCAGGACTAAACCAGGAGTAAACTAGGACTAAACCAGGATTAGAACTGGACTAACTCAAGACTTGAACTAGGACTAAACCAGGTTTAAGTCTGGACCAACTCAAGAGTTGAACCAGGACTAAGGCAGGACTAAATCAGGACTAATAAAAGACTATATCATATTTGAACCAGGACCAAAACAGGACTAAACCAAGACTATATCAGGTCTAAACTAGAACTAAATCTGGACTAACTCAGGAGTTGAACCAGGACTAAACTAGGACTAAACCAGGATTAAATCTGGACTAACTCAGGAGTTGAACCAGGACTAAACTAGGACTAAACCAGGATTAAATCTGGACTAACTCAGGAGTTGAACCAGGACTAAGGCAGGACTAAATCAGGACTAATATAGGACTATATCATATTTGAACCAGGACTAAACTAGGACTAAACCAGTACTAAACCAGGACTAAATTTAGACTAACTCAGGAGTTGAACCAGGACTAAACCAGGATTAAATCAGTTCCACTTCAGAAGTTGAACCGGGATTAAGGCAGGATTAAATCAGGACTAATATAGGACTATATCATCTTTGAACCAGGACCAAAACAGGACTAAACCAAGACTATATCAGGTCTAAACTATGGACTGAATCAGGTCTGAAACAAGACCTAGGTCAAATTTGGACCTAAACAGGACTATATCAGGCTTAAACCAAGACAAAAGTAGGTCTAAACCAGGTCTAAACCAGGACTAAACCAGAACTAAACCAAGACTATCTTCAACAATCTTTCTATGAATCCATTCCTCATTATAGCATAAACCTTATTAAGCAGTCACCCCTCACCTGTCCTCACCTGTCCCTCACCTGTCCTTCACCTGTCCTTCACCTGTCCCTCACCTGTCCCACCTGTCCTTCACCTGTCCCTCACCTGTCCTTCACCTGTCCCTCACCTGTCCCTCACCTGTCCCTCACCTGTCCCTCACCTGTCCTTCACCTGTCCCTGTCCCTTCACCTGTCCCTCACCTGTCCCTCACCTGTCCCTCACCTGTCCTGTACCTGCCGTGTGTGTGGATTTGAGTCCATATTGTCCCCCTGGGCTGCAGGTTCTTGTGTATCAGAGCGTTTAACGAGTTTGAGCGGCTCATGGCTTCGGGAGACGCTCTGTAATTACACACCCAATGAGTCTGAATGTCCCACAGCACAATTCTACCAACAAAACCTCTTTAACCAGCCCAAAATGAGCCAAGGTGTGAGATTTAACTTTTAATACACGGGCCTGGAGCTCAGAGGAGGCTGCGTGCAGATGGGAAGTGTCCGGCTCCAGAATGAAGCTGTCAGTCAAATGTTAGAGAGAAAAACAGAGAGGCTAACCCACAACCTTCTTACTGAGAGGAGACAGGATAACCACTCTGCCACAGAAACACAGGGAGGACATGGAAACTACACTCAGAGACACCTGGAGTCTAACCCGCAACCTCTGGGAGAATAAAGCGCTCCTGTGTTGATGCAGTAACTCTTAACATCAAACTGTAAAAAGTGGAGGTACAGTGCAAAAGAAAGAGTTCAGAAAGAGGCTTCTGTGTGTTCAGAGCAGCTCAATATACTGTACTACAGCAGAAAGTAGTACTAGTAGTAGAAGAAGAAGTGGAAGTAGTAGTAGAAGGAGGGAGTAGAAGTATCAGTAGACTAGTATTGATTGTCAGCACGTTTCACAACTTTCACAGACCAGAGCAGAGTGTTGCTGTCACAGTGACTTTAACAACAACTAGCATGCTAACCGTGCATGGGGTAAGGTTAGGGGATCTAGATATTGTATGTCATTAATAATTGATTAATTTAACCTATCTAAACCAGGACTGAATCAGGACTAAACCAGAACTAAACCTGGATTAAACCAGGACTGAACAAGGACTAAACCAGGACTACACCAGGACTAAACCAGGACTAAACCAAGACTAAACCAGGACTAAACCAGGACTAAACCAAGACTGAATAAGGACTACATCAGGACTATAAACCAGGACTGAACCAGGACTAAACTAGGACTAAACCAGGACTAAACCAGGACTAAAGCAGGACTAAACTAGGACTAAACCAGGACTAAACCAGGTCTGAATCAGGGCTATATGGGGACTAAACCAAGACTGAACTAGGACTAAATCAGAACTAAAAAGGAATAAACCAGGACTAAACCAGGACTAAACCAAGACTGAATAAGGACTACACCAGGACTAAACCAGGACTGAACCAGGACTGAATAAGGACTAAACCAGGACTAAACCAGGACTAAACCAAGACTAAACCAGGACTAAACCAAGACTGAATAAGGACTACACCAGGACTATAAACCAGGACTGAACCAGGACTAAACCAGGACTAAACCAGGACTAAACCAGGACTAAACCAGGACTTAACCAGGACTATACCAGGTCTAAGTCTTGTTTACAGTTTACAGTACAGTCCCTTGGCGGTGCTCTGATGACAGTTTTTTTTTTTTTTTTTTTTTTGTTATTGTTGCTTTTAGTTTTGTTTTGTTTTTTATCTACAGCTGCTGGCTCATTGTCCCATGACTTCACAGTCCTCAGTTACAGATATGACAGTATTTTTATCTTGCATTAGCTCAGCAGCAGGTTTACAGTTGATAAAAGTGTCATTTATTTAAAACAATCGTCAGAAAACCTTGAAAAGTTCCTCTGTAAACAGCAGTGACTTCAGCTCAGAGCTTTGTGCATTGTTCAGTTTTCCCGTTTATCTACAACCGAAAAGTTACTGAAGCCTCCGGTCACATCACGTCAGAAAATGTGTTACAAAAATGTTAGTTGTTTTTTTTATCTGCCACTGTAAAACTAAAATGTGAGTCTGGAAATATGTACAAAAATGTGTCTGAATTAAAGGTGCATTGTGTAACTTTTCTGGTGAAGGGTCGGTCAAATTTGTGGCTCATACAGTTTAAGGTTTGTGCTGTTTACTCTAATGATTCACAGCATGGACTGATGGAAGACTAAACCAGGACTAAACCAGGACTAAACCAGGACTAAACCAGGACTAAACCAGGACTAAACCAGGTCTTAACCAGGTCTAAACCAGGACTAAACCAGGACTAAACCAGGTCTAAACCAGGTCTAAACCAGGTCTAAACCAGGACTAAACCAGGACTAAACCAGGTCTAAACCAGGACTAAACCAGGACTAAACCAGGTCTAAACCAGGTCTAAACCAGGACTAAACCAGGACTAAACCAGGACTAAACCAGGACTAAACCAGGACTAAACCAGGACTAAACCAGGTCTAAAGGACTAAACCAGGACTAAACCAGGACTAAACCAGGTCTAAACCAGGTCTAAACCAGGTCTAAACCAGGTCTAAACCAGGACTAAAGGTCTAAACAGGTCTAAACCAGGACTAAACCAGGACTAAACCAGGACTAAACCAGGACTAAACCAGGTCTAAACCAGGACTAAACCAGGACTAAACCAGGTCTAAACCAGGTCTAAACCAGGACTAACCAGGACTAAACCAGGACTAAACAGGTCTAAACCAGGACTAAACCAGGACTAAACCAGGTCTAAACCAGGACTAAACCAGGACTAAACCAGGTCTAAACCAGGTCTAAACCAGGACTAAACCAGGACTAAAACCAGGACTAAAACCAGGACTAAACCAGGACTAAACCAGGACTAAACCAGGTCTAAACCAGGACTAAACCAGGACTAAACCAGGACTAAACCAGGTCTAAACCAGGACTAAACCAGGTCTAAACCAGGACTAAACAGGTCTAAAACCAGGACTAAACCAGGACTAAACCAGGTCTAAACCAGGACTAAACTAGGACTAAACCAGGACTGAACCAGGGCTAAACCAGGTCTAAACCAGGACTAAACCAGGTCTAAACCAGGACTAAACCAGGACTAAACCAGGTCTTAACCAGGTCTAAACCAGGTCTAAACCAGGACTAAACCAGGACTAAACCAGGTCTAAACCAGGACTAAACTAGGACTAAACCAGGACTAAACCAGGACTAAACCAGGTCTAAACCAGGTCTAAACCAGGACTAAACCAGGACTAAACCAGGACTAAACCAGGATAAACCAAACCAGGTCTAAACAGGACTAACCAGGACTAACACCAGGTCTAAACCAGGACTAAACCAGGACTAAACCAGGTCTAAACCAGGACTAAACCAGGACTAAACCAGGACTAAACCAGGAAACCAGGACTAAACCAGGACTAAACCAGGTCTAAACCAGGTCTAACCAGGACTAAACCAGGTCTAACCAGGCTAAACCAGGTAAACCAGGACTAAACCAGGACTGAAACCAGGGCTAAACTAAACCAGGACTAAACCAGGTCTAAACCAGGACTAAACCAGGACTAAACCAGGTAAACCAGGTCTAAACCAGGTCTAAACCAGGACTAAACCAGGACTAAACCAGGTCTAAACCAGGACTAAACCAGGACTAAACCAGGACTAAACCAGGTCTAAACCAGGTCTAAACCAGGTCTAAACCAGGACTAAACCAGGACTAAACCAGGACTACACCAGGACTGAACCAGGACTGAACAAGGAATAAACCAGGCCTACACCAGGAGTAAATCAGGGCTAAACTGGGACTAAACCAAGACTAAATTAGGAATAATCCAGGATTGAACCAGAGCTAAACCAGGTCCACACCAGGTCTACAGCAGGTCCACACCAGGTCCACACCAGGTCTTAGTGTCAGTTGCAGTAGTGCTTCTCAGCGTCTCTGATGACACGTTTAAACAGTGACTCATGTAAAACGGTCTAAAGCGGCAGACTATGATTTGGGTCGGCTTCAAACTGCGCGAGGCTGTCGTAATGACGGGATGCACTGGATTTACACCAAATCATTACGTTTAAACAAGGCGTGTGGTAACCATGGCAACAGCGTGACCTGAGCTGCCCTCTGATGCCAACGAACCCTACGACCCTAGTGGTGGTAACTGGGACTGCAAGACAAGACATACAATTGACTTTTTCAATTTTATTCACAAAGTTTAACAAGTTACCAAAGCATTCATAATCTAAAAGTGCAAATAATTTTACAGTTTAATGCATCATATTTTTAACTAAGCAAGTCCTACAGATAAAGATTTTTAAAGACTCACAAAAATACAAAATTTAAAAAAGATTGAAAAATGGATTCCAATGGATCATCTACGCAACATTAGAATATCAGTATAATACAGTAAAGATGTAAAAAATTTTTGCAAAAAATGCTTATTAAAAATGAACGTAAATTAACAGAATGTAACATAATGTAATAATATAATAAATTAGAATTAAATCAGGTAATTGACGCCATCTCTTTTCTAAAAACACAATCATAATTTTCAGAAAAAATATTTAAATGCCTTTTTTTGTACTTTATTTCTTCCGTGTATTTGCCCCTTACAGGTAGATTGTCTAAGCAACTCTTGAAGTTAAAATAAGTCCACTGTGTATGTCCGAGTCTAAGAATAAAGCTTCTGAGAATCAGGAAGTGTGAGTTAGCTACTACTACTACTATTAGCTCTATGTAAAAGTGTTGGTGCAGATAAAAACAACTACTACTACTACCACTACTATTAAAGATGTAAACAGAATCAGTACCTTTACTACTGCTCCTACAACTGCTACTACTACCACTACTAATACTACTACTACTACCACTACCACTACTAATACTACTACTACCACTACTACTACTATTAGTTCTATGTAAAAGTCTTGGTGCAGGTAAAAAAAAAAAATTAAAAAAACTACTACCACTACTATTACAGATTTAAACAGAAACAGTACTTTTACTACTACTCCTACTACCACTACTACTACCACCGCAACTACTACTACTACTACTACTACTAGCCCTATGTAAAGGTCTTGGTGCAGATAAAAAAGTAAATAAATAAATCAAAAAAACTACTACTACTTCCACCACTACTATTAAAGATTTAAACAGAAACAGTACTTTTACTACTACCTACTACTGCTACTACTACCACAACTACCACTACTAATACTACTACTACTAGTAGTAGCTCTATGTAAAGGTCTTGGTACAGATCAAAAAAATAAAATAAAAATCAACAATTACTACTACTATCACTATTAAAGATTTAAACAGAATCAGTTCTTTACTACTACTCCTACCACTGCTACTACTACTACTACTACTACTACTACTACTACTAACCCTATGTAAAAGTCTTGGTGCAGATGGAAAAAATAAAAAAAATACCACCACTATTAAAGATTTAAACAGACTACTGCTACCTACTATTACTACTACTACCACTACTTCTACTACTGCTATTACTACTACTAGTCTATGTAAAGGTCTTGGTGCAGATCTGTACTTCTTTAGTCGTTTCTCCTGCGCTGGGTCCTATGGAGATGTACGGGAAGAGTTTTTCGGTGAAGTTATATCTGTGCGTGAGAAGATGCGTCAAATCGTCGGCGTCGTAAAAAGACACAAAGCCTTTAGTGAAATCCAGCGTGATCCGAACTCTCTCCAGCTTTTTCTTCATTTCGATAACGTGCTCCATGTCGCCGTCATTGTAAACCCCATCGCCGAACCACAGACACCAGATCCCAGACTCTTCGTCGGTGAAGATCTCTCCTCTTCGGTCTACGGAGGCTTTGACCACTCCTATGTCCCACCTGGAATAATCCCCGACCTCCACCTCCCAGCTGTGCACCCCTCCGTCAAACCCTTCCTCCCCCAGCACAATCTCCTCGTTTGTGAAGCGTTCAGGGTTGTTTGGAAGTTTTTCCGTTTGGTCTTCTGCCAACCGAACTTTCGTCAAATCATCGGAAAGACGTAGAGCTTGGTTCATGGTGTTTGGATCTAAGATAACTGGACTAAAATGTACAATAGTCCGCATCTTCTCCCAGATATTGAAGCCTAAATTTCCTACGATTTTGGCCTGGTTTATCAACATTCCTGACTCAATTTTTGGCAAAACTGGTTTGAATTCTTGCGCTTGGATTTGGCTTTGAGATTTGCTGTATTCTTTCAGAAATTCCAAGTCTTTCCCCGTCACTTTTCCCTTCTCAAGTTGTACGTTTTGATCCATCGTTGAGATCTGGTCCTCCATGTTCAAAATCCTTTTATTTAACTTGTCTAGCTGCTCCTGTATTTTGACCATCTTCTCTTTTATCACGCCGTCTTTCCTTTTCTGCTCCTCCTTCAGCTCCTCGACCCTTTGCTCTTCCTCTTTTTTCAAAAACTGATAAAACCTGCTGAACTGGGCGCGAACTTGCATCTCGCATTGCCATACCTGTTTGGTCAAATGTCTCTTCAGTTCCACAAAGCACCTCTCCGCTTTTTGGACCATTTCTTTCTCTTGTTTTAAAATGTTCAGCTGAGATTCAACGTGATCCTTTAATTCTATCACTGCTTTGTCCAATTCTACAACTTTATGTCGCAAATGCCCAGAAAATTCGCAAATCGGACACAGAATTCTCCCATCGTCCAAACAGAAGAGTCGTACGTCGTGTTTACTGCACTCCACCTCCTCCTCTTTGGGTGTCTGCTTAAAGGAGTTGGTCAGTTCCTTCAAAGCAAAGTTCACAGAGATACTTTCTTTGGAGGACTTCCTTCTGCACACCGGACAGTTTCGGTTGCTGCTTTTTTGCCAGAAGTTTTCGATGCATTTTAAACAGAAACTGTGGTTACAGCCAAGAGAAACGGGCTCTGAAAATGTCTCGTAGCAAATAGGGCAGGTGAGGAAGTCTTCGAAAACAGATGAAGCCATTTTGAAGTCAAGGTTCACACCTGGTGTAGAACTGGTTAGGTCTTGGTTCAGTCCTGGTTTAGACCTGGTTTTGTCCTGGTTTAGTCTTGGTCTGAAAAGGCCTTGAAACAAACAGGGCAGGTAATGAAATATGGGCCTGGTTTGATCCCGTTTAGATCTGGTTTGGACCTGGTTTAGTCCTGGATTGATCCCAGTTTAGACCTGGTTTGATCCTGGTTTCAATATGGTTTAGACCTGGTGTAGGTCTGGTACAGTCTTGTTTTAATCTTGGTTTAGTACTGGTATAGTTCTGTCTGTTCTGTAGTTTTGTCCTGGTGTAGACCTGGTGAAAACCTGGTGAAAACCTGGTGTAGACCTGGTGTAGACCTGTTGTAGACCTGGCTTAGTCCTGGTTCAGTCCTTGTTTAGACCTGGGTTTTGTCCTGGTTTAGTCTTGGGCTGAAAAGAAATCTTCAAAAAAAAAAAAAAAAAAAAAAAAAAAGATTAATCCATTTTGTGGTCCTGGTTTCGACCTGGGTTGGTCCCAGTTTAGACTTGGTTTGGGCCTGGTTTGGTTATGGTTTAGACCTGGTGCAGTTCTGGTGCAATCCTGTTTTAGTCTTGGCTTAGTCCTGGTTTAGTTCTGGTTTTGTCCTGGTGTAGACCTGGTGTAGACCTGGTGTAGACTTGGCTTAGTCCTGTTTTGGTCCTGGTTCAGTCCAGCATTAATCTCCGTAAAGACGTGCTTTGCCTGAGCGTCTGTGCGGTGCTGTTCTGTCGTATTGTTAAACTCTGCACTTCCTGATGAACTTCCCGTTTAACCGGTTTAAGTCTGAGTCACATCTTTACATAGTTTTGCACATTTCAGTAACACTTATCTAACCCTTCTCTCTGCATCTCTCTGCACCTCTCTCTGCATCTCTCTCTGCACCTCTCTCTGCACCTCTCTGCACCTCTCTGCATCTCTCTCTGCACCTCTCTGCACCTCTCTGCACCTCTCTGCACCTCTCTGCATCTCTCTGCACCTCTCTCTGCACCTCTCTCTGCACCTCTCTGCACCTCTCTCTGCACCTCTCTCTGCATCTCTCTCTGCACCTCTCTCTGCACCTCTCTCTGCATCTCTCTGCACCTCTCTCTTCATCTCTCTGCACCTCTCTCTGCACCTCTCTCTGCATCTCTCTCTGCATCTCTCTCTGCATCTCTCTCTCTGCATCTCTCTCTCTGCATCTCTCTGCACCTCTCTCTGCACCTCTCTGCATCTCTCTCTCATCTCTCTGCATCTCTCTCTGCTCTCTCTGCACCTCTCTCTGCATCTCTCTGCACTCTCTCTGCACCTCTCTCTGCATCTCTCTCTCTGCACCTCTCTCTGCACCTCTCTCTGCACTCTCTCTCATCACCTCTCTCTGCATCTCTCTCTGCATTCTCTCTCATCTCTCTCTGCATCTCTCTCTCTGCACCTCTCTCTGCACCTCTCTCTGCACTCTCTCTGCACTCTCTCTCATCTCTCTCTCTGCATCTCTCTCTCTCTGCACCTCTCTCTGCACCTCTCTCTGCATCTCTCTGCATCTCTCTCTGCATCTCTCTCTGCACCTCTCTCTGCACTCTCTCTCTGCATCTCTCTCTGCACCTCTCTCTGCACCTCTCTCTGCACCTCTCTCTGCATCTCTCTCTGCACCTCTCTCTCTCTGCATCTCTCTCTGCACCTCTCTCTCTCTCTGCACCTCTCTCTGCATCTCTCTCTGCACCTCTCTCTCTCTCTGCATCTCTCTCTCTCTGCACCTCTCTCTGCATCTCTCTCTGCATCTCTCTGCATCTCTCTGCACCTCTCTCTGCACCTCTCTCTGCTCTCTGCACCTCTCTGCACCTCTCTGCACCTCTCTCTGCATCTCTCTGCACCTCTCTCTGCATCTCTCTGCACTCTCTCTCTGCACCTCTCTCTGCATCTCTCTCTGCACCTCTCTCTGCACCTCTCTCTGCATCTCTCTCTGCACTCTCTCTGCAATCTCTCTCTGCACCTCTCTCTGCACCTCTCTCTGCACCTCTCTCTGCATCTCTCTCTGCACCTCTCTCTGCATCTCTGCACTCTCTGCACCTCTCTCTGCACCTCTCTCTGCATCTCTCTCTGCATCTCTCTCTGCACTCTCTCTGCACCTCTCTCTGCATCTCTCTCTGCACCTCTCTGCACCTCTCTCTGCACCTCTCTCTGCATCTCTCTCTGCATCTCTCTCTGCATCTCTCTCTGCATCTCTCTGCACCTCTCTCTGCATCTCTCTGCACTCTCTCTGCATCTCTCTCTGCACCTCTCTCTGCACTCTCTCTGCACTCTCTCTGCATCTCTCTCTGCACTCTCTCTGCATCTCTCTCTGCACCTCTCTCTGCATCTCTCTCTGCACCTCTCTCTGCATCTCTCTCTCTGCTGCACCTCTCTCTCTGCACCTCTCTGCACCTCTCTGCACTCTCTCTGCATCTCTCTCTGCACCTCTCTGCACCTCTCTCTGCATCTCTCTGCACCTCTCTGCACCTCTCTCTGCATCTCTCTCTGCATCTCTCTCTGCACCTCTCTCTGCATCTCTCTCTGCATCTCTCTCTGCACCTCTCTCTGCACCTCTGCATCTCTCTCTGCACTCTCTCTCTGCACCTCTCTCTGCATCTCTCTCTGCATCTCTCTCTGCACCTCTCTCTGCACCTCTCTCTGCACCTCTCTCTCTCTGCATCTCTCTGCACCTCTCTCTTCTCTCTGCATCTCTCTGCACCTCTCTCTGCACCTCTCTCTGCACCTCTCTCTGCATCTCTCTCTGCACTCTCTCTGCACCTCTCTGCATCTCTCTCTGCATCTCTCTCTCTCATCTCTCTCTGCACCTCTCTCTGCACCTCTCTCTGCATCTCTGCACCTCTCTCTGCACCTCTCTGCACCTCTCTGCATCTCTCTCTCTCTCTGCACCTCTCTCTTCACCTCTCTGCACCTCTCTCTGCACCTCTCTCTGCACCTCTCTCTGCACCTCTCTCTGCATCTCTCTCTCTCTCATCTCTCTCTGCACCTCTCTGCACCTCTCTCTGCACCTCTCTCTGCACCTCTCTCTGCACCTCTCTGCACCTCTCTCTGCACTCTCTCTGCACCTCTCTCTGCACCTCTCTCTGCACCTCTCTGCATCTCTCTCTGCACCTCTCTCTGCACCTCTCTCTGCATCTCTCTCTGTCTCTCTCTGCATCTCTCTCTGCATCTCTCTCTGCATCTCTCTCTCTCTCTCTCTGCACCTCTCTCTGCACCTCTCTCTGCACCTCTCTGCATCTCTCTCTGCATCTCTCTGCACCTCTCTCACTCTCTGCACCTCTCTGCACTCTCTGCTCTCTGCTCTCTCTGCATCTCTCTCTCTCTGCACTCTTCTCTGCACCTCTCTCTCTCTCTCTGCATCTCTCTGCATCTCTCTGCACCTCTCTGCATCTCTCTCTGCATCTCTCTCTGCACCTCTCTCTGCATCTCTCTACTCTGAGCTCAAACTCACCCAAATTTCACTTAGTTACAAATGACAAATTTAAGTTACATGTGATTCTAGACTCAACGCTAACAGGAGTTTTGCTGTTTGAAGTCCTTTGCTTCCTGGTTTAGTGCTGGTTTTGAGCTGATTTAGTCTTGTATTTGTCGTAGTCGGGACTGGACTGAGTTTTGGTTTTGGACCTGGTTTAGTTCTTGCATAGTCTTGGATTTTAAAGGTGCATTGTGTAACTTTTCTGGTGAAGGGTCCATCAAATGCTTTTCTTCATAGAGACGTTATGGCTTTTTCTTGGTGCAGATAAAAACAACAACTACTAATACCACAACTACTATTACTACTACTACTACTACTACTACTGCTACTACTACTACTACTAACTGCTACTACTACTACTGCTGCCATAACTGCTACTACTACTACTATTACTACTACTACTACTACTACTACTACTACTACTATTACTGCTGCTACTACTACTACTACTACTACTACCACCACAACTATTAAAGATTTTAAACAGAATCAGTACTTTTGCAACTGCTACTACTACTACTACTGCCACTCTACTACTACTACTATCACCACTACTAATACTACTACTACTATTAAAGATTAAACAGAATCAGTACTTTTACTCCTTCTACTACTACTACTACTACCCCTACTACCGCTACTACTACCACCACCAATACTACTACTACTTCTAGCCCTATGTAAAAGTCTTGGTGTAGATAAAAACAACTACTACTACTGCTACTACCACTACTGTTAAGACTTAAGATTTAAACAGAATCAGTACCTATACTACTACTACTACTGCCACTACCACTACCACTATTAATACTACTACTACTACTACTACTATTAGCCCTATGTGAAGGTCTTGGTGCAGATCTGGACTGTAATGTTTCACAGTGTGACATTAAAGCTTTCTATCTTCATGGAGACCAAACCAGACCAAGTTACAGGTCAGATCTGTGGAGAGGCGACCCTGCTCACAGACAAAATGCCTGTTTTTTTGTTGTTTTTTTTTAGGTATTTTTGAGCTATAAAACTGTCTGTAATTGGATAAATGTAAGGCAGAGCTGTTTAATTAATGTACTGTGGATCTCTAACCAAAAAAATTACTCAGTGCAGTTTTAACTTATCAAACTACAAATAATATCAATAAAATCTTGCAAAAACAACAGTAGAAACAGAAAGAAACCATGGAAGTGGTGTTTGTGTCAGAAAAGCTTTACTCACCTCCAAAATCCCCGTCTTTAACGTTATCTTATCATGGTGCAACATTCTTTATTGCTTCCATTCTCTGGAACACAGACAGGAAATACCCATATTTATCTTCAAAGTCCAGGAAGTGTCCATACATGGGCGCGAGTGGGCGGGACAGACCGGGCTCTGTGTAACGAGCGTGAACTTTGAACCCTGAAGCCGCAGCTAAAAACAGACGAACCTTTCATGAAACACTTTCACTTTCTTTGTAGCGTTCAAGACTCTGACTACAGTGGAGCTAAAAATATACGTCAATACTTTGAAATATGCATGCGTTCTGTAAGGATAGGCACACTCTTCGATGAATCTGAGCTGTAATTTTTGGGGTTGTCAAAAGTATCGAACATGCGATACTAAATGATACTAAAACTGATACTGATTTTACTGATACTGATACTGATTTTAAGACTACAGTGGTTCTTTGTTTATCGCAGGGGTTACGTTCCAAAAATATTCCGCAATAGGCAAAATCTGCAAAGTAGTCAGCTTTATTTTTTACAATTATTCTATCTGTTTTAAGTGTGTAAAACCCCTCACCACACACTTTATACACTTTACTCACACAGGACAGTTACAACCCTTTTTACATCCTTCTTCAAACTTATTGCTGCTGTCGTCCTTTTGTTATTTTTCTTCTTTATGTAACTAACCAAAGATTCATTTATTCTGTAATGGAGCCTATAGCGCAGAGTCCTGCACGGTCTCATTTTTGGAGACCCGCACCCGCCCGTACCCGTGCAGTACAGCACCGCACCTGCCCATTAACCCGAGATTATATCAAAGTTAATCCTGCACCCACCCAGACCCGTTAACATTCTACCATTACCCGCGCATGTCCCGAAGTTCAACTTTTCGTGCGATGGTTTCATCTCCCTCTACCTTTTGGGTGCAGAACATTTCGTCGACATTGTGGGTTTTGTCGGGGAGAAAACTTGCAAACATACAGCACTTCAGAATCACACTGATACAGATCCAACATTTATGTCCATTTGTCAAACTGAACACATTCTGTACTGTATTGGAGACACTGCACAGAGGAGATTGATTGACAATGGTCTACAGTCTCTTAGCCAATCAGGACGCAAGGGAGGAACACAATGCACGTTCATACACTGTAAAAAAAAAAAACATGCAAAATTGCACCAAAAAAAAAAAGATGAAACAGCGAGATCGCAA